TGATTAGTTAGTCGGATCCCAAAAGCGAAGAAGTTTTGATCCTTAGGGGCGATCCACGCCTTGACATCGGCCATTAAGTCACCCATATCGACGTAACTTCTATTCTCTAGCCATTTTTCGATGAACAGTAGACGAGATAATCCATAAAAGTTTCTGCTGGTGAATATGTGGTGAATATGGCAGATTTAGGGGCAGATCCCATTTCTTGGTTGGCTCTGGCTGATTGTTCGATCGCTGAAAAGTTACTGAGATCGCGGAATGAGTGCGCCACCTTCCAATCTTTCTCGAAGTAATAAAACCTAATTTTGCGAATATGCGGATGATTTTTTGAGTATATTCTTGTGGAGGAAATCAAGTAGATCGTTTCTAGAAAAAGCCCGAACTCAATAGTCAAACACTTTCAGGAGAAAAAAAGCCGCGAAAAAATCCGCAATAATTATGCATCAACCTAACAGTACAGAAGAGTCTACACTTACAGGATCGGATTTTCTCTGAAAACCTATCGCTATCTGAAAATGATTTTGGGGAACGATGTCACCATTGAAGATTCATGGACACATATAATTTAGAAGTCCCAGAAAAGGAGATTATTTCCTTAGAATTATTTGAGACCATTCTAGAATTACACCCAAACTTCTCAGTGTAAGCGAGAAAGCTTGTCTTCAGAGGCCTTGACTGTTGCCAAGGCCTCTGAAGACATGATTAAAGAATTAGGCCTACTTTGTTTAGCTTCTTAATATCAACCTTCCAATGTCATAGCTTAGGTGGAACAAGGAATCGGGGATAAAGTCTCGAATCGATATATGTGCAGGGTGCGCCATGTACATATATTGTAGCACTTTTTGGACGTATTATATAAACCAGCCTCAAGAAGGCAATAATGAAAGGCCGTAAGTGGTAGTGTCATTTATGTCTGAACGTATTACATCAACTATTTGAAAATCAGGGCGGAGGTGGTGTAGTGGCGCACTATATCACACGCACGGTCAGGGGTTCGAATCCCGGATCGATGCACGCCTAGGCCAACCAAGCCTTCCATCCCT